CCTGTGGTGGGGAGGCCACCTGTGCCTTTGAACAACCTGGGCAGGTGCTGAAGCGGCTGGGGGACGAATGGCTTCGGTGCTCCTGGCTGTTTTAAAAGTATTGCTACGCTTCTCGAAAGGAACTTAAGGAACAGGAGAGCTGGAATCCCAATTCACACCCTGTGAAGGGCCCTAAATATTTTAGGGGTGCTTGGGGTGTCCCCAGAGGGGGGCCAAAAAGTCAAGTTGGCAGCTGTGACTCTGAAATCCAAGCCACGCCCCATTTTAGCATGCAATGCCTGCTAAAAAGTACATGCAATGCGTGTTAAAAGGGAGTATGGCTCGGTTTGCCTGGTTACGGCCCCAACTTGATTTTTTGAGCCCCCCACCCCTCAAATGCTCCTATTTTGACCAACATCCTCACATCAATTACATTCTGCAACTGCTCTAAAACAAGCCAAGTTCTGGCTTAAACAAAGCGCCTTTTGGAGTGGATGGCCAGAACACAGTTAATAAAATAAATCAATGAAATATGGGATGGTACCCATGCAAGGACTCGGTGCAGAGAAGTGGCATCGTAGGCCAGCTCTTTGCTGCTGATAAAAGGAAGGCTGATCTCGAGGCTGGAGAAATATATTTTGCTGTTGCTCACCGGAGGCCAACAACTGGACCGTTTTTAGGTCTTCCCCTCCCGCCCGTCTGTATTCCTATTTATTCCTTTCTTGTGGGAAGTGAATTGCTTTGATTACGTTAAAAATATCTCCTCAGGAAAAGGACTAGCGAAGCCCAGCAGTGGGTTGAACCAACAGGTCAGCGGCTGCTTCCCCTGCGCCCTCCGCAACCCAAGCGGGAGACGTGAGCGGAACAGGGTGGATACTGTCATCCCTTGGCCTGGCCACAGGGTGGTGCTCAGTGGCGGAAGCAGCTCCCGGCTGCTGGGAGACCAGGTGAATCGTCTTTCTCTCACCTTGCAATTGCTGTTAGGTATTGTAGGACTACAACTCCCACACCTGGTGGTGGGGGACGATGGAGAAGCCGTTCTGCACATCTGGAAGTCCCCAGGCCTGCTCTGCATCAAGGCTGGGGAGCATGCGGTGCCCAGATGTTGGAAGAGGCGTCCATAGATGGGAAGGTTAAAAAAAATCAGAATGGGAGATCGAACTGAATTTCGCCCCTGAGAATTATGCTGGAGAAATCCTAGAGGATTGGGCCCATCCCTTCTCAGCTCTGCTGTCCTTGAATGTGGAGCTTTCTATCACAACAACAGCCCTGCAAAGCTGGCCGAATGGTGATTCCTTGTCCCAGATTCCAGCAAAATGTGCATTTTCACAGCCTCCTTCATTGTGGGGCGGTGGGAACCCTGACCAGCATTTACCGAACCAGCAGGAACCCTTAGTGCCCTAGGGAAGCTTTTAATCCAGTTTGTGGGGGTTATCCAAAGCCCCCAGCTGGAGGCGCTGCCTTCCGGCTTCTCCTTTTTAATACACCTATTATTTATTGTTTAAAGAATAGCCAGTCAAAGGATTTCCCCACCCCACCCCCAGTGCTGGGGGGCAAATCTGTCTTGAGAGACCCCCTTCCTTTTGCGAAGAAGGGCAATCTGATGCACTGGAAATTTGAGGAGAGGGTCCTGGGGGGAGGAACGTCGTGGGCCAGGCCGGGATGCTGGGGGGGGCGGGGGCG